TTCCGAATGGGCCGTTCCAGATGCATTAAATAAGGACTTTTTAGGCATTGACCTTTAGTTTACCATCGTATTAGTAGAAATATTTATTGATTTTATCCGAAATTACTATCAATTTTTAGGGTTGTAGTTTAGGTTAGAAAAATTATGAATAACTGAGTCAATAGTAAATTTGTGTTAATATATAGATAATGAATCGAAGTTGGATGAATGCAAGTCGCATTAGTCAAGAGTACAGAAATGGAGTTGAAGAGTTCTTGCAATTTGCAAGTTTGAGGTAAGTTTCATGTACGCATTATTTTTTAAATTTTCTGTTAGATGTTCATCTGGAACGGCCCGTTCTGCAACTAGAACAGGCCATTTTTTTTGAATTTTTTATTTGTTAATTGTTGATCTGGAAAAGCCCAGGTGCGAAGTACGGTTAGTACAGTATGTATTTAGGTTGAGCATCATTTGCAAGTGCAAATCAACTAGATTTTGATGCTGGCGTAGAGGCTTAATTAGACCTTATTATAACTTTGGATATCATGTTCTGGTAGGATGTGATATTAAGAGTTGGATTATTTGTTTCCATTGATTTTTGTGTTTTATATTTCAATTAGTAGTTTTAAACTTATCATGTATGACCTTTTTGGAGTGTCAAATGGATACTAAACATTTGTTATGGGTTTTTATTTTATTTGATTTATTTGACTATTGTGTAATGTGAATCTTTTACCGTTTGCAAAGTGTGTATAAAAGATTGAGAAAATTCCACTATTCTTTTTTATTTTATTGCAAAAATTATTTTTATTTATTATATAAATTTGTTTATTGGATGACAATTCATATCAAGAAATCAAAATAGAGTTTGCTAACTTGAAAAGTTAACTTCTCACATAAATTCAAATAAATTTGATTTTTTTATTCATGGGACTCATGATCTCAATGTTTCATGGAGGTTCTTTTTGGATGAACTAGCAAAAGGCTTTTATGTTAGCAAGATTTTGTGTTTAGAGATTTTATACTTAATTAGGTAACATATTAAGAGAGAGATAAATAATACATAGAATTTGATCAATATAAAAAAATAGGAAACACATGAATATGAAAAAACTAAATAATTACAATTTACTACAATAATTATTTTGATTCTTACTTCATTTTTAATAAAACAAAATTGAACAAGAATAAAAATAAATATTTTGATGATAAACATATATCAATACAATACATTGATTAGATAGAAGAAATATATTTTTTAGATTTTCAATTAAAGTGTATTAATTGAACTCAAACTCGTACAAAATAGTATCTTTTTTTCTATATTTTATGTTAATTTTATAAGTTAAACAATAATATATTAAATAAATAAGTTTTTAAGAAGAATGGGTTATCCAAAGAGAATGGGTCATAGAAAGTCAAAGGAATCATAGGCAAATTAAAGTGTTGTAAAAAGGAATCATAGAAAGTAGAGGAAAGAGTTATCAAAACACAAAAGAGTTATAAAAAGATGAATTCGAAAAAGAAAAAATACACTAATGATAAGTTACATACACTATTTTCCAAGAACCTGAAGCAATATGTGTAGTGTGAACAGTATTTGAAGTGGTTTGTATGTGGAATGTAAATATTTAATAACAAAAGAAACAATGATTATGGTTCTAATGATCAAAACCATCATGCACTTATATCAAAATCTATGATTTATAGTTTTTCTAGTCTAACAATCAAAATCTAGGATCTTGACATGTGTACAATAACTCCCTAAGACATTACAAGATGTTGACATGTGTCTTGATAGAATTTCATGTAGGGTTATCAAAATGGATTGGCTAACCGTAACCCACTTTTTAAGTGGATTAGCTTGGCTCAATCCACCAAATTTATTGTTCAAAATTTTCAAACTTAGTTCAACCCATCACGGGTTAGTGGATTAAACAGATCAGTCCACTAACCCACTTAAATTTTTTTAAATTTTTTTCTAATTTAAAATAACCTATAATCTAAAATAAAAATTATCGAACTAAGTATCATGTATACAATATTAAACTTAATTGAAAAATGTACAACTTTGAATAAGAAAAACAACAAAAAAATAAAAATAAAAAATCTTGTCATTAGAGTAGTTGTCCATCAATATTAAACTTTATTGAAGGTCTAAGTGGATAAATCTATTGCAATTTCATGTTGTCTAACATCAATTTTATCATCCTCTACAAAAAATGGTACCTTATTAAAATAATACATATATAAAAATAAATGGTTAAGTGGTTCATTGGTGGATTGGGTTGATGGGAGGTATAAATGGGTTACATGAGCAGTTCAATCCACCATGGGTTCATCCTGGGTAGGTCGAGTCGAAAGTGGGCTAGAATGAGTTTTTGGACCAATTAGGAGCTTTTTGATTTTTTTGGCCCAACTTATTTTCAAGGTGGGCTGGGTTACCTCATGGGTTCGACACCCACCTTGACAACTTTAGTTACATATCTAGATAAGTGAAATAACTTCTTCTCATAAATGCTTCGCATTTGTCATGTTTTCTAAAAAAATATCAATATTTTGATATAATTCCAGACTACTCAAAAAGTATAGTTGTATTTTCGAGAAAACTACCAAATTTATCGAATAGATATCACTCTATCATCAATTCTTCAGCATAAGTATCACAACTCATAGATAGATAGAGACATGCCTCAGGAATTTAGGAGTTACCAAGTCAAAGAAATGCTATTTTCCTTATAAGTTGACAGAATATGGAAGGGGAAAGGGGTATTTAGCCAATGTTATTTTCCTTATAGGGTTGATAGAAATAGGGGATTCATCGCATTACACATTTGTTGATCTCATTACCAATGTATACACTTTTGGATATATAATATCTTAATGAATATACATGTTTTCTTTATTTACATCTTATGTAGAAAGTTAAACATTCCTTGAACTTATCAACTTTTGACACTGATAATAAATATACACGTACACACCTTATACTTTTAAAATGAACATAGATGTTATTTTAAATTTATATACCTTTTACTTTTTAAGGTGTGCACTATCATATCATATGTGCACGACTGTTTCTTGTTCCCCTTCGATTGGAGAATCTGCTCCCAAGTCATCACTTGCCTCTTATGGCCCTTCCTTCAAATACCTTATGAAGGCAAGGAGCATGGCAATGTTCACACTTCCTTTTACTCTTCTCCATTAGCCTCATCGATTGCAAGATTGTGTGGTATGAAATTGACTTAACTTTGCCAATTCATGGATAACATAGGTTCCATCAGTTTTTCAACTTGTCTCTTTTGAATGAAAAATGAATAAATCATCCATGAGGTATCAAAATGATGAAAATATATTTATTTTTATATATTTATTTTTTATTGGGGTTATTTATGTTATTTTATATACACACTTATACCATTTTAAGTTTTTTTTTCTTCTTTTTTTTACATTATTTTCTATCAAATAATTGAAGAATATTTCTAGGGTTGAGCACCAATTCGAGACTTGACCCAAAATTAAAAAAAAATGAAAGAAAAAGGGATAAATGGTGAGTTTGAATGAGTTATCAATATAGATGGGTTAAAAAATATGATTTAAAATGATTAATTTTGGTCGAGTTTGGTTCAAGTTCGTGGATTCATCAATATTTGAATCCAACCGTTCAAACAAAATAAAGGCCAAAGTAATTATCATTTAGGCCTAAAAGTTAAGCTTATTTTAGTTCATCTTTAATTTTTATTGCTGATGCACAAAAAACTCTAATTGAGGGTGTAGTTTGTAACCTCATTTTTTATATCATGTATCTAAAAAAATTTATTATAATATTTGAAATATTTGAAACCTAAATAATAATTTTATTCATTTTGAATCTAAACAAACTAAATAATATTTGAATGATTGAATGTATAAAAAAGGATACAAGAATTGAAAAGAAAGATATAATAAATTGGATAAAAGTGTAAGTTTTATAATTTTCTAATACTATTAATTATAGAAAATTAAAAGATCTTTGATATTCATGATTCTCACGTAATAATAAGGAATAATATGTACATTTTTCCATAACAAAAATCTCCTTTGATCCTTAGAGCACTTTGATTTTATTGAGAAGAGAACCAATATTTCACTTTCTTTAAAATTTTTTTCTACTCTTTTTATCTTTCCTGATGACTAGGATTTAAGAGAATACTTTTTGTCAGGCGGTGAACCTTGTTACACATTAGTGAATATTTATAACCTCTTACAGATCGTTATTCCCATCAAATAACAATTATTCTCAAAATTGCTTTATTAATTCCATTTATAATTTAGTCTCTAATTATTTAATTATTTATTTATTAGTCCATTTATACATCACATGTCTCTCACGCGTAATTATCTTACATAAAGCTTTATTTAGGTCAATTAAATGATTCAAAACCTAATACATCTCTACTCATAAAAAATTGTCCAATAAAATCGAAATTTGCTCAAACCAAAACTTGCTTAAATTAATAAGTCATTTGGTTAGGTTCCAATTTAAATAATTCAACCCATAGATTATATTGGTTTGAACTATATTGATAGAAACCGACCGAACTCGACCATTGATCATCCCTAGATATTTTGGTAACGTTCCCAAGGTTTAACAATTTAATATTTAATGATATGGATTAAATAAAAAAAAATATAAATATTTTAAATTATTTAATCATAAATTAGTCTATGAATTTTTTTTTAATTTTAATAATTATTATACTGAAAATCATTAAAAAAAAATTGATTTCTTTTACATTGTAAAAGCATTCGTGTTAGTCACATAATTAAATTTAGATATTTTAAAATGTTATTCTATCGTTTTAGAACAAAATTTACAATTTTATTTCAACAATATGACAAGAGGTGCATTAGTACTATTTCACACTAATTTCATACAAGAAAGTTAGAAAGTATACTGACAATGTGTTTTTTCCCCATCTTTTAAACACTTTTTGGCATTACAAGTTGCGCAAAAGGCACCGCACTTGGCCTAGAAACAAAGTCGAATACACGACCCAACGCCAACCTGCTTCTGTTTGTCTCATTCAACTCATCTTTTTATCTCTTCCTTCGCAATTCAAAGTTCAAAACGGTCTTAGCCAAGGACTTAGGACTTGGAGTATACTTCTAGGAAATATGCTAATGCCACACCCTCTCTCTCTCTTCGGCGCAGTTACCCCTTTTTGTGCGTGACGCTCACGCTTGCATCAGAACCAACCAACCATATAAATAGAGCGCGCGCGAGGCCCATCCAACGCAACGCAACGCACACTTCAAACCATAAACAGAAAAAAACAAAGACCACAGAAGAACGCTCGCAGAGTGTGTGTGTGTGTGTGAGAGAGAGTGAACCCTAATAATGGAGGCGAAGGAGAACGGACCAAGCAAGAACCCTTCGAATGGCGCCATACACGGACCTACCAACCCTATGGTCACGCCTCTGCTCACGGATCTCTATCAATTCACCATGGCTTACGCTTACTGGAAAGCTGGCAAGCATCAAGAGCGTGCTGTGTCAGTAATCGTCGTTTTTCTCTTCTCACTTTATGTATATATGTGTTTCGTGTTTTCGTTTCGTTGCCAACCAACTGCAACTGAAGATAACAGTTGGCGTTTTGTGCTTTTGCGGAATTGTGTTTTGTTTATAGTTGGGATTGGAATAGTGTTTAGTAGTTACTGGCTATCGTAAGGTTGTTGTTTAAGTGAATGTTTGACTGCATGTTGGTATGTGGTTGTGAGAAGATTGGATCGTGTTTGCTTTCAGGTTCGATTTGTATTTTCGGAAGAATCCGTTTGGTGGGGAGTATACTGTCTTTGCTGGTTTGGAAGAGTGCATAAGGTTCATAGCGAATTTCAAGCTCACTGACGATGAGATTGGTTTTGTCAGGGAAAGTTTATCTGACTCTTGTGAGGTAAACTAGATTGTTGTACTTGTTATAGCTGTAACTATAGCTTCCTATGGTGGTGGGTAGGATGATTTAAATGCAAAGATTTGAAGTTTCCCTCTATTGGGAATTTGGGTGTAACGCTGAGGTTTTTTCGATAATAGGAAATGGTGTAGTTATAAAGGAAGCGGATATGTTATCATTAATGTCAACTTTGTTAACAATTTCAACTAGATATCCTTGAAAGGAAATAAATGATAGAAAGAGTTCAGGCTTTTTGTTCGAGAGGAATTTGTCTTGCTTTTGCGATGATTTTATGTGGTTCTTTTAAAACTTGAAATAACATGGGTGGTGATTGGGTATGCGGTGATTCTGTGAAAAGTTTAATGCTGCTGTCATTTTTGTTTAGATTCTCACTTCAAAATATTCTGATTTGTTAATATTGATCAATTAAATCTAGGATGGATTCTTTGACTATCTTAGAGAAATTGACTGCTCTGATGTTGAGGTGTATGCTATTCCTGAGGGAACGGTCGTTTTTCCCAAGGTTCCCCTGATGAGAGTTGAAGGTCCAATTGCTGTGAGTACTTGTCCACCATTAAGTAACCTCGTCTAATTCTTCTTCGGAAGATGACCTATTTCTTGCATTAAATTGACTTTTATATGTTCAGGTTGTTCAATTGCTGGAAACGCCCTTTGTGAATCTAATTAATTATGCATCATTAGTTTCCACTAATGCTGCAAGGCATCGCAATGTTGCTGGAAAATCCAAAACTCTACTTGAGTTTGGATTACGAAGGGCTCAGGTTACAAAGTGTTATAAAATACTTTTCTGATTTGTAAGTTTTGGGAGAACTGACCTTCAATATACAACTAAAGAAATTCTTATTTTTAATGTAGGGTCCTGATGGTGGGGTAGGAGCGTCAAAATACTGCTATATTGGTGGATTTGATGCAACAAGGTATTATCAATTAAACAATTTAATTCTAGCGTGAGGGGTATTGTACAGAAGATGTCCTGCTTGAGGTTTTGCGGACTAAAATTTTCTCTATGCCAATCTTGTCTAGAGTGTTAATTAAATATGTTCAAATTGGGATATTTTATATTGTATAACAGCAAAGATACTTTATTTGCTGTTGATTTTGGTGGAAGGGCATGGTTTTGATCTTTTGTCATTGCAATTGCACTTGCAATATTGAAGTACTTAAAATTAAATACAACTGGATGAAGTTGACAAACAAAAATTTTTATTATCAAGAGATGGTTTACACAAGTTCTCTTGTACCCATTCCTTACATATGATAAGTGCAGTTATTGCCTGCAATTTAATTTGATAAAGTTGGACTTTATTTGCACAAAATGGTAATATATGAGATTTTTACCACTTGAAAATCACTTTTTGAGATTTCATATTATAATTCTACAGCTATGGATTTTGGGGTAGTGTGCTCAAATAGAATGATGAGGGCAAAATTGCTTTTTATTTTTTTATATTTTTTATTTTGGGAGGGGGAGGTTGGCTGTTCTATTTGGTTTGGTGTAATCTTTGTTTCTTACTTTTTCTTTTGTGTAACTTGGCTCTTTAATAACTTACCTTTTTCATGTGTGCCAATAGCAATGTTGCAGCAGGAAAGTTATTCGGGATACCCCTTCGTGGTACTCATTCCCATGCCTTCGTTAGTTCATACATGGTAACCAATTTACTGAAATTTGTTACATATTTGGTTATTGTTTATTATACTTGTTGGTTGTAAATTATAATAAATCTTCCCTATTTAGTTGCAATGACAGAGTACTGTTTAAATCTATCCTTTCAAAATTTCTAAAGGCTGTTGGTGTTGGTTGTAAATTATAGTAAATCTTCCTTATTTAGTTGCAATGACAGAGTACTGTTTAAATCTATCCTTTCAAAATTTCTAAAGGCTGTTGGTGTTGGTTGTAAATTATAGTAAATCTTCCTTATTTAGTTGCAATGACAGAGTACTGTTTAAATCTATCCTTTCAAAATTTCTAAAGGCTGTTGGTGTTGGTTGTAAATTATAGTAAATCTTCCTTATTTAGTTGCAATGACAGAGTACTGTTTAAATCTATCCTTTCAAAATTTCTTAAGGCTTAAATTATATTTTATTGTTTGTAGTCACTATGTATAACAATGATAGTTTGAAATTAGATCTGGAAGAAATAGAATTCATTGATAAGTGAAGAGGCACTGGAGTGCAGTTCAGCGAGAACACGGTTTAAGTCATGAAAACTAAAACCAGTGGAATTTTTTCATATATTTATGAACCCCGTTGGATATTACTGAAATGTAGGACTAGGAATATCAAATATATACACCAAGGATCAAGATTTGAGTGTGACAATTGAAACTGTAAAATTCAGAGGGATCAAATGAAATTGTACTATTCATTTTCAAAATAATATGCAGTTGGACCCTATACGTTCAGAGTTTGAGTGTTTGACACCGGGGGTGGGGTGGGTGTCTCGGGAGTGTAGTTCTACGCAGCCATACCCCTGTAAGTAGAGCTATTGTTTCCTGAACCCATGATTTCTAGATCCCCTTTTCTTTATAAAAATGAAGCTTCGGTCCAAAAGTAAGCTTGGAATTTCTAGCTACCTTTGTATGTGATCTATTGTTCATATTAGTGTAATTTATACGGCATGAAGCAAATGAGGCATTTTCTGTTATATTTCCTTTGCTTATTTTCTCGTTTGCTTGTTTGTCCTATGATATGCAGAACCTTGATGAGATTATAGATAAGTCACTTTGCAGAAAAGATGGTTCAAGTACGTGTGATGATTTTGTTAGTCTGGTTCTAACATGGCTGAACAAAATTCAGGTGCCAGCATACAAACATTCACATCCTTAATGTTGTTTTTCTGTTTTGGCTCTTAAGTACCTCCTGTTTCAGTTTTTTAGTGTGTTTTTTTTCCTGTGGGAGAGCATGGTGATTTTGATAATGTTTCATCCATATGGAAGATTTTTTTCTGTTTTTTGTGAAGATCCCCTAAAGTAGTTTCTTCTAATAGGTATTTCCTGAGACTGAAATGAAAAATTGAAGGCTGAAGCTCAATGTAGTAAAGCTTTGCATATTAAATGTTTATACCTGTGCCTATGGCAAACTTTGATGTTTCTAGCACACAACAATTTGAAGCTTGAGTACTAGCATAGCACATATATGGTGATGTTCTATTGAATGAGTGAAACTATTGTGATTTTCATTGGCATGTCATGAGAGCTGGCGCCTCAGTTTTTTGCTTTTTTAATATGAATAAAAGGAGGATTACGCTAGAGTGAAAGGATATATAGTAGAAAACATCAAGAAGGTTGCATGCATGCGTGGTAATCTATATAGAATATCAAGACAAAATCGAGACAAGCATAAACAGCTTTTATATTATTGAAGTTATCTTCACAAAATTTTATGCTCAATATTTTTGTTATCAAGTTTGATTCTGTCATCATTTACAAAAGTGATGTTTGGTCACTTATATAGCACATTTAGGCTGGGTCAACCAAGAACATGCACACCAAGCAAACAACTCTTGTGTATATGTGTATTATGCAATGCCTTGACAGGTTAAAAGGACATATTAGTAATAGAATATTAACTGCTTGGGATTTTCAATAAAAAACATACCTTTGCATTTGCTTAATTGCTTAAGAGCTAATGCTTCAAGACTAGTTGGTCTTTGATATAGTTTGGGAGCCTCATCAAGTAATTGGTCAAATTTCAATCCTTGCTGATCCACTTTTGTAATAAAATTAAAATTTCAGCACAAGGTTTTGGGTGGACTCATGCATTTTTCATGCTTAAAGTAAGTTTTTTTTTCCCTTGGTGTGTCAAAGATGTAAATAGAAAGCATTACTAGAATCTTGGGCCGTATCGTAACTAGTTAAGCTTTTGGGGCAATTGTATTACACATAGGGATGGAAATATGCCAGACTTTAAATAGGGATCTATGGTGATTTGAACTTACCTATTTAGTAAAAAGGCTAGGTTTGAGTTTTTAAAAAAACATTTTTATTTAAAAAGGTTAAGTTTAGGCTAATAAAAAAGTTTAGGCTAATATAATAAAAATTTTAATATACATATCACACTATTAATAATATAATTAATTAAATAAATTTATAATACCAAAATTAAATTATTAATATTATTAGAATACATGAATTATAAAGTGTTTTGATCCTTCAATGAACATTCTACACAGGAAAGAATATTTTTCTCATTTTAAATATTCAAATAAAGTGAAATATAATCATATATGCAGGAGAACTAGGAAAATAAGACAATAGTACTAGATTGAGTTGATATAATTAAAATAAAGTCACACCTAATATGATAAAGGTATTTTAGATCATGATTATTTTATGTTTGCTACTCCTTTCCTTACTTTCTGAAAAAATAAAAGAATAAGCATTTCATGCCAATGCTGTAAATTATGACGATCAAATGGATTTGCCAGTGAATATACTTAAGTGTTCCCTCTCTACAGTTATCAAATGGTGTTTTTGGTGAGACCAATCAGAGTGAGCTGGCAGCATTCACATCATATGCATTGGCATTTCCCGATGGTTTTCTTGCTCTCGTAGATACATATGATGTAAGTATTTTCTTACTAACCTTGCATTTTTCAAACAGGCATCATTTATGTATAATCTTGGCAACATTTTACCCAGAAATGTCCAATGGTGCTATGGTTAACTATAAAATGGAAACTGTTAGAAACTAAAATTAGTGAGAATCAGTTCTTGTATCTTTCATCAATTTGGTTTTGAGACAAATGATACTGGATTTACATAAATGGGAAGAAGAGTAAACTGTTTTGTGCTTATAAATCTGTGTCTAGGCATGGGAGGTAAGGTACCCCACTATTTGCCCTTTCTCTTAAGATATGCATAACATTAAGTTGCAAATTAATTAGACAGATATCCACAAATGCACTTACTATGTACATGAATCATCTCCTTATACATTATGATTTAAATAAGTTATGTGCTTAACAGATGAGAGGATGGGTGGGTAGTATTGTGCTCAATACTTGGAGACACTGATCACAGGTCAGTGCCTTCAATATTCAAATAAAGTGATTATGAACTCAACTGAATGGGTTATTCCTATACGACAAAGATACGAAGTCCTAGATACTGAAACAGGGTGACGAGTGATAAATCATACCTAAGGTCCATAAGCGGTGTGATACCTATTTTACTCTTGAATATTGTGACACTCATACACCTCTAACTTCCACCTGCCAATCATTCTATTTTATATGCTAACATTGAAAGTGTGCTAAATTTTGTGAGTGCATGAACTGTTATTTCCACTTATTGTGTCATCTGTCAAATGTCATCATGTCAAGTGCTGAAGTTGCTTTTTTTTTTTTTTTGTCATTTGTTGACAGGTGATGAGAAGTGGAATCCCTAATTTCTGTGCTGTTGCATTAGCTCTCAGTGATTTAGGGTATGTCAGGAAGTTATTCATGTTATCGCTTGATTATTAGTTTTACACAAGTATGAACCTTTTCTGGTAATTAATGTTCCCAGTTTATTTTCAGTTGGTAGGGATAGGTTATTTTTCTTCTGCAAATGAATGAAAAATGATATTTTATGTAGTATCTCTGTATCTGCACAGATGTTCTTAGAGAATCAATAGCAATAGTAACCACCACTGCTTAGTGCCTACTGCTGTATCTGAACTTGCAGGTGCAGTAGGATGGATTGTTTTCTTTTTAGGATTACTGCAAACTTTTTCTGAAAATGATATTCAGTGGGCTTGCTTGTATGTGTGGTGTTTCCTCAATTATTAGCTAAAGTGCTCTGTTTTTGCAGTTCCTTAGTTTTCTTTATGCAGTCTGTGTGTATATTGTTGCAAATATCTTTTTCATTGAGAAGCCTTTAAATTCTTTTGTCTTTTTGGTGAATAATGTTAGATTATATGTGTACTATAATGTTATTTTCAATTTAAAGATTGCACTGGCCGGTTGTTAATTTACTCTAGTATCTCTTCTTGCATGCATCATGTTATATAACTAATAATTCATAATGACTTTTGGCATGAACTATTAGTCTCTTAGTACCCTCCTGCTCATCCCCTTTTTAAAAAAGCACTTTTCATTTTCTAAGCGTCATAGTAATTTCCATTCGTTGCTGAGCCTTCATGATGTCCCGTGCAGATACAAAGCAGTTGGCATTAGATTGGACTCTGGTGACCTTGCATATTTGTCTTGTGAGGTCAGGAAGTTCTTTTGCTCTATTGAGAAGGAATTTGGAGTGCCAGGATTTGGAAAGTTGACAATCACTGCTAGTAATGACCTCAATGAGGAAACATTAGATGCTTTAAACAAACAGGTCAGTGCAAACTGGAACTTGTTATCTCTTACTATTGATTCAAAATCAACCTAACAATTGAGCAGTGTCTGTGTTTGCTGCTTTGCATTGGTTTATGTGCACATTGTATAATTTCAGTGTCACATAAAAATTATTTTATCGAAATTATTGCGCATGATTTGTTGGTTTATACTTTATACAAATTTTAATTGTTAATTTCTTACACATTCATTTGCATTTATACCAATGGATTATATCAAGACTTAACTTAGGTATTTAATAATCTCCTGCTATATAAAAATTCAGGTCTTAAAATGTAATATACTAAAATGGTTATATAGTTGTTGTAATATTTCCCCTTCTATAATAAAACAAAATAAAATTGATAGAAAAGTAGGTAGTTTAGTTATTAAAAATTTCAGGAATACGACATACATGTACCCCTGAAATCTGTTGTATTTTTGGTGTCTATTGCCTTCAAAATTGCAGTTTTGTGGGATACATGTACGACATATTACTTTTGGGTTGTGAACATATAATTTTGGATATACATGTAACATGGTTTCCTACCATGATTGGGATAACATTAATCATTAAGTAGTTCTGGTCCTGAAAACAGAAATACTAACATAGTTTTACTGATCTTGACAAGGTAAAATTTACAAAGACTTTGCAGTTTCTTGTCATAATTTTTTGATTGTATTTCATTTTCTCTACAGGGTCATGAGGTTGATGCCTTTGGAATTGGTACATATCTTGTTACATGTTATGCTCAAGCTGCTTTGGGTGTTGTTTTCAAGCTGGTTGAAATAAATAATCAACCTCGTATAAAACTTTCTGAAGATGTGTCAAAGGTTTGGACATTCTAAACTGGACATGATAGTGTAATCATCTGATTGGTATTTAATTATTATATTTTTCTGTTTCTTTATCTGTATTTAGGTCTCTATTCCATGTAAGAAACGATGCTATAGGTTGTATGGGAAAGAAGGTTATCCCCTGGTAGATATAATGACCGGAGAAAATGAGCCCTCTCCAAAGGTATTATTTTGACTTTGTTTGTCTGACTCTATATCTACCTTCTTTTATTTTTGTTTTTTCAATGTTTTGCACCCCTGCCCCCATCGGGATTGGGAATGTCAGCAAATGTTATTCTGTATGTTTTTACCAGCATGCCAAGTTGCGAATTCTGGCCAATGAAATCTCTTTTCATGACAATCACCTTAGAATAGTATTAAGTCAGGAAAACTTGTCATGCTTTGATTTAAGCATGCTTTGGCACGTTGATGAAGTGCCTTTTAAACATATTCATTCATATGGATTTTCTTTAAGGAGGCATTTGGTATACCGCAAATGTTTTCATACATGAGAATCATAATTCATGAGAATCATAAATAATTTCTAGGAATCATAAAAATCTGTTTGGTTGGTCATAAATGTTTCTGGGAATGTTTTTAAATGTTACCTGGGAATCAATATTTTTTACTGCATTAAATAAAAAAATAAAGGTAATATAACATTCTTACCTCATTAAATGTTTATTTTTACCTCAGGAAAGTTAGTTTCTCACATCCTCTATGAGAATAATTTTGTGAGAAATCTATATAAAAACTATTCTCTAAAAACAATATTTTCTAAGAATGTTATTTTTTTAAATAATAAACCAATCGTGGAAAACTAACATATCCTCAGATTCGGTATCAAATGCCTCCTAAGGGTGAGCAGGATGAGAAAACGTAAGTGCTGAGTAATGTAGATGCAATTATTGATTGAACCTCCAATTAGGCCATATTCAATTGCTATTCTTTTTCCTTTTTCATAATATAAATCCAAATAATGGACCCATAGCCTTCCAGCATTCTATCATTGCTCTTATGACAAGTTTCCTGCATCTCTCTGCTTGTCAGCATGCCTCCAAGCGAGTTGGTTCTGTGTAGTATATAAATGAAGGCATAAAAAAATGTTTTATCATCTTTTATTTGTAGGTGGGAGAAAGAATCTTGTGTCGTCATCCCTTCCAAGAATCCAAAAGAGCATATGTGGTGCCACAGCGTGTTGAGGAGCTTCTGAGGTGTTACTGGCCTGGGAGTTCAGGTGAGAACTACCTATTAACAATCATGGATATAAATAGTAGCTTATTGATAGCATTCAAAGCCTACGTTTGTTTGCCTAGGGAAGAGGAAACTGCTGTATCGATAATAAGAACAATCCCATGATTCATTATTAACTAACAGCAATACTAACCCTTTAAACTAAGAAAAGGAAGATATTATCCCACCTATTTGCTATTGTTGCAAATTGTATTATTTTATGAATTCCTGCATGAAATGGTTATGCCATCTGAATTATCTGATAACTAGGCTGCACTCTGAAACACTACGATATAGAGTGGCTTATCAGCATTTATCTGCCATTCATATATTGAATGAATACAGTTTATGACCATCGGTTTTACTTTGCTTTAGTAACTTGCTTGTTCTTTTTTGAAGATAAAAATACAGATACTTTACCACTTCTAAAAAGCCTTAGAGAGCGATGCATCAAGCAACTTGAGCTAATGCGGCCTGATCACATGAGGAGACTTAACCCAACTCCATATAAGGTCACAAAGTTATACCTTACTCGAAATTAGGCTATTGTTTTCACCTTGAATGATTTTGATTTTTTCTTTTGAATTATAAGCAGGTTAGTGTTAGTGCAAAATTATACGACTTCATTCATTTCCTGTGGCTCAACGAGGCACCAGTTGGGGAGCTACAGTAATAAGGCAAATAAAATGGCATGCCTCGGGAACCCAATGGGTATGGCAAAAGAATATTTCGGAAGAAATTTCTCCATACAGTATAGATGTATTCAATGTGTTTTGACTGTTTTCAAAATAAATGTTTCTGTATATTTATGTTGGTGGAACTATTATTCTTTCGAGGTTTGTGCTAATAAACAATCTTTACCACTCTTTATCACATTGCTATGCAGTCTTTGATTATATAGCTAAACTTTATACAGGCATTCAACAGAAGTATAAATGTGAAATGGTTTCTTGAGGTAATTGAAGGCATTGTGTACCGAATTTAAGCACTTATAACAGTTTGTGAATCTCGTATAAGTCGCGCATGATTAGAAATTTTAAACCTACATGCAAATGCTTTCGCTCAAATCATGTTCACTGGCCTGAAAAAAAATCTGTCACCTAACCTCCTATTTCTCGATTACAGTAAATTAGCAAGCTGTTGTTTTGGCAAAGACTAGTAATGAGATGGCCAAAATTATCGTAAAATTTATGCAATCTAAAGTAACGGGTTGCGGATTAGAAAAAACGATTCTGTGAAACATGTTTAGAACACAGCATTGTAGCAGGTCGTGGCGACAGTGAAAGTAGGCAAGTTGAATAGTTTACTGCAGGTTAAATCAACCGGAGGCTGATAATGGGGAGAGGTGTGAATTACCAACTTTCTGTTGGATTGTTTTTCTGTTAGAAAATTAAAAAAAGGTAAAATGAATTAAATTTTTAACATAAGTTTTTGGCAAAAATTTTTAACACAAGTTTAAATTAATTTATGTACTTAACTTTCATAAAAATATTTTTCATTAATTTTTCTAAATATTGTGAAAAAAGATAGAATCAGAAATTATTTATCTTATTTTTTATAGTACCTCATGTATAGTGTGATACAATAATGTAAAAAAGGAAATAAAAATAATCCTAAAAAAATCAATCCTAATAAAAGAGAAATAAGAAAAAGGTTTATGTATTTTTTTTAAATAAATTTCCTAATTTAATAGATGTGTTGACATTCTGAATAATTTATATATAGAAGGACAATTCCATATTTATAACTTGACACTCCCCCTTGAGGAATAAATGTCTTTCATTCTCAACTTGATGATAAGATCATGGAAACTTGAACTGTTCAGCTCCTTTATAAGAACATCAACCGATTATTGTTGTGATGGAAGATAGAACATACACACTAAGTCTTCCTCCAACTTTTCTTTAATGAAATCCCTATCAATTTCAATATACTTTGTTCTATAATGTTACACAGGATTATAAGCAATATTGATTGTTGATTTGTTGTCACAATAGAATTTCATTGGACCCTTCAATTTGATTCTTAAATCATTTAGAATAATTTTCAGCCATAGTAACTCACATAATCCTTGAGTTGTTTCTCTGAATTCGCATTCTGCTGAAGAGCTTGCCATTACATTTTGTTTTTTTGCTCCTCCATGTTACTAAATTTCCCCCAAAGAAGGTAGAATAACCAGTAAATGATGCTTTATCAACCAAGGATCCTACATAGTCAACATCCACGTAAGCTTTTAAGGCTAGAGGATTATTCTTTTTGAACCAAATTTCTTAATTTCTTTCTTAGGACTATCCTTTACATTATGTAGTACCCTATCTACAACTTGGAGATGAGAGTCTCTTGGATTGTGCATAAATTGACTTATCACACTCACTAAGTATGTTATATCAGGCCTAATGTGAGCAAGATATATAAGTTTCCCTACCAACCTTTGGTGCATTTGCTTGTCAACAATTGGTTCCTCTTAGGCTTCTCCCAACTTTGCATTTGGGCCCATAGGAGTTGCTACTAGTTTGCATCCAAGCTTCCTAGTTTCTGCCAGCAATTTTGTTACATATATTTGTTGGGATATAAATATCCCTTGATTGGAATAAGCAACTTTAATATCAAGAAAATATTTAAGCTTTCCCAATTCCTTAATCTCAAATTCTTTAACTACTTTTTTCTTCAAATTACCTTTTTTTTTCATCATTTCTTGTTATAATGATTTCATCAACATAAATTATGAGCACAATCATTCCCCCTTACAACTGTGTGTTTAATAAAAAGGGTGTGATTACCTTAGCTTTGATTATACTCAAACTCCTTCATAGCTTTTGAGAATCTCTCAAATCAAGCTCTCGAAGACTGTTTCAGTTCATAAAGAGCTTTTTGAAGCTTGCCCACCTTGTTGCCTCTGCCACCTTCAAATCCATGTGGAATATTCAAGTAGATTTCCTCATCTAAATCACCATGTAGAAATGCATACACATCATACTATAGTAGCTGCCAATTGAAGTGGGCAGCCAATGCTAGCAAAATTCTAACCGTATTCATCTTTGTAATTGAGGCAAAAGTTTTCTAGTAGTCTACTACATAAGTTTGAGTGTATCCTTTGGCAACTAGTCTTTATTTATACCTGTTAAGAGAGTCATCATCCTTGTATTTCATAGTAAATACCCACTTGCAATCAACAATGTTTTTTTTTTCCTTTTGGTTTGTCAACCACCTCCCATGTGTTATTCTTCTCTAGTGCGTTCATTTCTTTTTTCATAGCCTATCTCCATTTGTCTTTTGATAATGCTTCAAAAATAGTGTTAGGAATAACAATACTGTTTAAACTCATGATACGATTTCTATGAGTAAGAGACAGTTTGTTAAGAGAGACATAGTGAGATAATGGATAAAGGGACCATTTTGTGCATTTCCTTAATATTGTTTTTGCTAGTAAATAAGTAATGTTAAACCTCAACAATTTATTTAAATACATACAAATGTGCTTAAAGCAACTCATCTTGACCTATGCTCTTAAAAGTTGCCCCTCGTGTATCCTTACCTACAAGTATTCCTTCATGAAGAGACTTAAGAACCTTTGTAGTTTGGGCTTCTAAAATGTAGTCTGAGCAAAACTCAATATTTTATTTTACAGTGTTTCTTTCAACAATAGATGTTTTAGGATTATGTGAATTCTTTATATACCCTTTTAAGATCTTCTTATATTGTTTAATTAGGTACACCCACCATTGTAAAATGGGGTTGCACAATATAATCCCCTTCACTAAATAAACAATTAATGGTGTAAAAAAATTAAGGAACAAAATGTATTTATAATTGACACAAGATCATAACAATCTCATCTTTCAACTCATCCAAATTCTAAGGGTCAATGACTTTGAAGAACAAGTACAATATTGTTATGATATGTTTAGCATTTTTAGGCAAGATGTCACGAATAGTCATTGTATTAGTTGCATTAAAATGTGACAATACTAAGAGTATGCACCAAATAATTTGAGATTTTTCATTGAGACAAGCATTTTTACATTTGAAGAGTAATCTTATGGTACTTTGGCACCCAATAGACATTGATTAAAGCTTTGGGAGAAAATATGGTACTTTGGGAGAAAATATGTTCGCTTACCATGAGAATGTGTAGCTAACTACTATTGTATAAAGGTGGAAAAATGGGTTAGCCTAATCTAATTTGACTTGCCTTGCCACCAACCACCAAAAATAGGGCCTAATAGGTTGATCTGCTTATTGAAAGTATGTTGGAAATCTTAGACCACCTTGCTTAATGACAAGCTAACAAATTGGCATACTTTTAGGTTGGCCTACCAAAACTACTTTTTTTTTTATTAATTCTAATTGACGAACTTTTTTTTTTTTTACAACAATTCACAAATTTAATTATAGGACTCGTAGCGTCAATTTTTTCTTAAAATTCAGGACTACAACACAAAAATAATTAATTACAAATTACTAAAGTATTTCTCATTCGATCGAGATCATAACTAATAATTTTTCAACAATAAAAAATTATAATAGTTCTTAAGAATTACAACACAAATACAGATAGTTCTTCAATAATAAGATTATACAAGAACACAAAGTGACATAAATAATAATTTATAAAAAAATGAAAAATAACATTTAAAAATAGGTTGCCAAGCCAACCTACCACAACTCGTCATTTAGTCCATTAGATTTGTGGGTTGAAAAGTCTATACCCTATCTTTCCAATTTTTGATAGGTTAGGGGGTCGGCTCACATTCATTTACACTATCCATTGTGGTTACACTATCACACATGTTTTTCCCTTTTATTTTAATAGTATTTTTCATTTACAATTTGTTATTGTCATTTTTTTTACTTATGAGTTGTTGTCATTTTAAAGATTATAAATAATTACATTTCTAATTGAATGACCTTGTTAGCATTGGAGAATATTTAAGTATGTTTATCATGTAATCATATCAGATTTGATTAGTTAAATAGTTAATTTTATAAAGTTCTTGATTGAAATTATAGATTGTTATCATAATAGAGATTATGATAATGAAAATTAATATTTTTTTTATCATTTTAATCTAAAATGCCCTAAATCATAAGATTATTGTATATAGAATATCAATAAATATAAATTGATCAAATATATATATATATATATATATATATATAAAGATTAATATATCTTATTTATTAATTATATATATAGATTATCCATTGAACTAATTCATTTGTTAGCATTTCTTTTATATTAATTCGTTATAATTGATTTAATAGTTAATTTTTATTTATTATTAATCATTGTTAATGCAGTAAAATTACATAACAAGACATAAAAGTTTATCAATTATTTGATCAACAAAAATATTTTTTTATTTTATTATCATTTTTTATAATTTTTTTTTTCTTCTTATCATCATTTATAAGATCTCAAATACTTGTTGGAATTAAGAGTGTGAATGATAGTGTTATAATAGATAAAGTTAGACATATTAATAAGTAGTATATTAGTAAAAAAAGTTCACTAATCTAATTTCTTAAAATTTTAGATTGAGATATAATTTAAAACTCATTTATGTGAATAAGATTTGTTTTTGTAAGAAAATATAATTAAAGTTCATGCGAATTATTATTATAAATTTGAGGTTTTTTGCACAATATAAATTTCATATTTAATATTTATTATTTTGAATCTTTTAACAAAATATTTTATTATTATTGATAAGCATATGTTGTATTGTAGTATGCTTTTCCCGTCATGTTAATCAGACTCCTTCACTGTGCATAAGCTGAAGAGTTTTAACACAAAATGACGGGTAAGTGTGTCCAGTTAGTGGCTAGTTATATATATAGAAACCAATCATATAATCTAGAAACGTGAAAACGAGGAATGGAGAGATGTTACACAATTTAATATCAAAGAAAAAAACTCAAATATATCTTCCCATGAACTCTTCATCTATTCTGGAGATGCCTTTTCAGTCTTATTCCGAAGAAGTTAAATGTTTCCACAATTTCTGACAAAATTTATAGGGAGGGTTAGTAGGACATTTTTGTCAATAGATTTTATTATTAATTATTTTTTAAAAATTATAAAATTACAAATGAAACTCATTAAATAGAGAGCATATCACACTTAATTTCATGATTTTTCAATACTTATTTAGGTTAATAATAAAATATGAATTTAAATACTATATTAGAGAATGTGTTCACACATTCTCTTAAGATAATTATTTTACAATTGATTAACATTTATTTCTTTCAAACAAAATTAGTTGATTTACTTCTAGCTCAATTCGTGAGATCAGAAATTCCAAAATGTTTATAAAAAAACATCAAAATAGTTAACTCTCGCATGCAAAGATATGACATATATAACAATCGTGCTTCAATACTGAAGCAGGAATAAGTTTTTTTTTTCTTTTTCTTTTTCCTTCTTTTAATTGTTTTAAAGTTGAGAATTAATGAATAATTCACATAATTTTTTGTTGGTTAAACATTATTTTAATATTGTCAGAAATTAATCATAACAATATCAAATTAAATCTCGTGTTGTAAGACATGTCTTACAACTATTGGATCAACAAATTTGATTCCATCAAACAGTTTGATAAATATTAAAAAGTTAAATTATATATTTTTTATTTAAAGACTTATTTTAATCTTTTATTATTAAATTGCATCAATTGTGTCCTTCTAAAATAGTGATTATTTTCAATTTTAGCACATAAGTTTGAATTTTTTTATTGTTTTAAAATATAAAAATTATTTCATTAGATTTATTTACATAAAAAATATGATACTCGTTTGATGTTTAAAAAACAAATAAAGATTACAAACATGATGAAAATCATGTAAAAAAATAAATTTCATAAGTAATCATAAAAGAATTTGATATTACATTTTAAATTCTTTTTGATTGTTCATTAAACTTATTTTCATATGATTTTAATCATGTTCTTGACTCTTTTTGGTTTGAGCATTAATTGACTCTAATAATTTTCATATAAATAAATTTAATGAAATAAGTTTCACGTCTTTATAAGTCAAAAAATGATTCAAAATCATATCTTAAAAATGAAATTAATTACTATCTTAAACAAACTAAATTAATTCAATTTTTTAAAAGAACAAAATTTAAATATAATTTCTTAGGTTATTAGTTCGTGTTGTTCTTTAATGAGAATTGAACTTTTACCTCAATAATATACGATAATGTATATTAATGAGATCTATATTAAATGTAAATACATAATATAAAAATAAAAATTCAAATTTAATTAAAAAGAAAATACATAAAAAAAATTGTATTTAAATTTTATCCTTTAAAAAGTAAAAAGCTAAAATAATTTTTAAAAAAAATAATGAATCAAAATAATAAAAGATAAAAATATAATTTAACCATGTTAAAATAAGTTAAACCTATTGGAATACTTTGCGGTACTTCAACCCTTCCCCCAAATAGCAGAAAATTTTCATTTCATATACCTTCGAAGTAAAATAGAGTTAATCCTAACAGGTCTTAGGATCAAGACACCCTCATGACTAAGAGCATGTCTAAACTAAAGTTTGAAAATTTAAGTTTGAATGAATTTTATTTTGTAAACTTAGTCATACAAATGTAATGTGATATTGAAATATATTACACCCATATTTTATAATAAATATCGTTGTAAATTATTTTATATAAACCAAAAGAAGGTTAACAAATAAATAAATAAAACATAATCATTTTATAAAATTAACTTTATAATTAATCTTCTTTATTAAAAATAGTACAATATAATAATTGTTTTCTGAAAAATATTATTAGGAGTATAAATAAAAAAGAAACAATTAATACTATATTAAAAAATTAATATAATACTTATTTCTTCTTCAAACATGATGAGATAGAGGAAATACTATTAATTAAAACTTGAATTTAATTGAAATATAAGCATGCAACCGTACTTTTTTTGAGGCAATCCAAACATATCATGAAACTGATTTTAAAGGACAACCATATATTTTTAATGAAATTAAACATATCCACACGGTTAAAAATGCAAAAAGGATGGTGTATTAATTTTAGAGTAAAGTCAAGAAAGTGTTCATTTCCACAACACATTACCGAAATCAAATGCAGCAGAAGCTGGAAACCAGATACATGATCATCTTCTTCTCGTTCACTCTCAGGAGGTGGCTGCTTTCCTCCGTCGGCGGGGGCAGAGGGAGGCTCCGCCGCAGGTGGCGGTGGAGAAATTAGAGGCACATCACATGTTCCATATGTCGCATTTTCCTGCATATATTAACAGAGAAATACTAACATTTTGTCATTTCCACACTCAATATTTGATGAATTTATAAATAGCATTTTGTGTAGGATTAACTGAGCCCTCATACAATTCATCATAATCACACAAGGTTCCCCAAAATAATACTAGATACTAATTTTTTACACCAATCTTACTTTATTTTTTAATGTTTCTAAATTTTAGAATATGCGAATATAATAATTTTCGATTATAAAAGAATCATAAGAAAAAGTTGCTTTTTTTAATAAAAGAAATACAAAAATTTATTGTACAAATTTTTCCAAAAAAATGAATAAATAATTTACCTTTAGTAATAAATTAGTCTAAATGTTAGTTAAAAGGATTAAGCTTAGTTAATGAACTTTTACCATTTTTTATTTTTAATATTCAATTAATTTAAGTTCACAAATTAAAAGTGAAAATTAATAAGATTAAAAGCTAAAACTATTAAAATAAATTATTTAAAAACTAAAACTAAAATAAGATTAAAAGTTATAATACTCATTTGTGGCAATAAAAAATATACTTAAAATATACTAAAGGTGTAATTTATTAATAAGAATATATTCCTTTGGAAAATAACTAAATATATATTAATAACTACGGTTACTAACTTAGTAATACCTCATTTTATATATAGACAGATGAAAGATCCGTTTATTAAATCTATTTGAACTTATTTCATTTAATAATTTATGTTCTATATCAAATTTCAACGATCTAATTATTGAATTTAAAGTTCTTAATACATAGATCAAATTTGTAAATTTTTTTAAAATTTAAAAATTATTTGAAATTTCATTTTATTAATTCAAATTAATCAATAATCATAAAATTATTTTATACATTGATTTGAATTAATGAAATAAAGTATTAAATATTTTTAAATTTTTTAAAAATCTTTAAATTTAATATATGTATTAAGAACTTTAAATTCAAGAGTTAGATCGTTAAAATTTAATATAAAAGATGAATTATTGAATAGAGTAAATAAATCTCTCCTATTATAACTTTTATTTATTATAGTTGTTTGTGTGAGAGAGAGAAGTTGGTAACCTTGCAATAGGCAATGTTGTCACATCCGCAAGTCAAATGACCATTGGCTATGTCAACTGCTTCAGGGGCTCCTCCGCCATCACTCCTCTTTCAAGTTACAACAAAAAGCTTAATCATTAGCAACATGTATGGAAACAAAACAAGCTTGTTCTCTATTTGTGAATCGTAATTAATATATAATTATCTGCTAAATAGATTACAAATCCATGTTTGAGAAGATAGAAATTCACATTAATTTTGTTATACCAGGTAAAAATCAACAGCAATGAAATTTGGCCACCGGTTGTCGGCAGCATCATGGCAAGTCTTGAGCATGTCTGGTAATGGAGCTGCGTTGTCTGCGCAAGCCGCGGTTGCATTAACATTAGTGCGAAAATAGTTCATCAGAATCAATGACTTCGTTTTTGTGTTCATAGCTGACGATTCCCCTCGATTTGGACATGAACCATCTCTCATTCCCTCGTCTCCATCTGAAATTTAATTTCCATACACTATCGTAAAATTAAGAATTAATATGCTATAAAATTTAGTCTATATATAACTAAATATTAATTATCTTATTATTTATACAATATTAGAATGATAAATCACAATAAATATTACAATTTTAATGATTAATAAATAAATATGGAATGATGAAATAAAGTTACAACTTGTATTAAATTAAAAAGATTAAAATTGTATATTTAAGAACTAAGAAATTAAAATGATAGATTTAATATTATAAGAGGATCATAGGTTAATTTAACCTGAATAAAACTATTATTTATATTCTATGATTATATTTGAAATACAATTTTAAAATGTCTTGCCAGAACATAGGCTAAAGAATCAATATATAGAAGTTTTTTTTTTTTTTTGAAAACTGCACAAAAAAATGTTCATATACAATTTTCATTAATATTTTACACTTCTAATTTCTTAACTAGTGTACAAAGAATATTGATTAACATTTATAATTTTAAATTATAACATTATTAATTAAAATTAACTAATTTAAGCATTTTTATTAATTTTGATGAATTAAATATTTATTTCATTTATATATACCAGTGGGCCGAGACACTTCGTGCCTCAATTAAAAAAAAAATAAAAATAAAAATATAATAATTTAACTGCTGTTATGATTAATTTATTAATTTCAAGATTTTGAATTTAATAAAAAAATATTATTTTTTAATTTTTTTAAAATAAAAGGATATAATGTTTAACAAAATGTAGAAATCAATGTGATTATTAAAAGGGATATCTCTTTTATACATTAGTATAGATAAGATAAGATAATAGTATTTAGGATTAATTTTATGATTTAATCTTTTAAAAAGGATAGTATTATACTGACATTGGTTTTCTATGACATATCTCCATTGGTAAGCAATGCCTTCGGATTCTTCTTTAGAATCTTTAGAGGTGAAAACGAGCAATCGTTGATTGTTCTGAACCATGTCATCTACGGTTGGCCAATCCTCACCATTTTTAGGCATTCTACTCATTGGAAACCAATACTTCTTCAGCCCAGAATCATTAAACACCTTTGAAAGCCCCCCCTCAGATGACACATAGTCTTCAATGAAGATCGTCACAATTTCTGATGGATTCGCTTCTAGAAATGATTGGATGTCTTTAAGCACGTTTACAGCACGTCTCTGCCGTGGCACATATCAATGTGTGAGTGTGATGCAAAATTAGAGCTAGCAGAGGAATGTTAATTACACTCTCCATTAATATCTTATTCTAACACTTTATCTGAAATTTATTCAAAATCATGAATTTTGTGATATTGTATCTTATTTAATGAATTTATCTATCAAAAATAGCAAAAGTATTTATAAGAATAAAACTTAGTTACAATTCTTTTAGTATGTATAGTATTGTTTTCTAATTAGAATTAGAGATTTATTTCAATAATGTATAAATGTATATTAATGATATTACATTAAATGTAAGTGTTTATTATTAAGGTAAATCTTTAATTTTGATTGAATAACAACATTAATCATACTTAAAAGAGTATACCTAAGTTTTATCTCATTAATAAAAGAGAATTAGAGGAAGTGTGGATACCGTTTTAATTTTTTATTATCACAAATAAAGGTAAGTTACAAATTTAAAGGATTCTTAAGGTAAACCTTGCACTTACAAACGCAGTGACATCGTAACAATTGCCTCCGAATGAGTGACATAGCCATATGTCGTTATTAAAGTCATACATATCCAACATAAGGCCTCGAACACCATTCTGTACATAAAGCAATGAACATCAGGAGGAAGATAAGATGTTTCAGACTCTTGTAAAGATTACATGCACTGCACGGATTTATCCTTCAAGAACTAAACCACAAGTGCTTATAGTTATAGATAGAACTACAAATACTAGCAGTTATTGTTTTTAGCATGATTTATTAGTTAAAGTCTAGTTATTCAGTTAATTTTACAATTTTTTTTTTGGTGCCAGGTATCTCAGCAGATAACTAGAAACTAATTTCTTGAGGTATGAAATTCCATTTAAGTAGTCGACCTTTCCGGCAGACATATATTATTTCATATACATGGATTTGAATCTCTAATTACATGGTAAAGGAACATGGTTATTTGTCTATAATATTGTAGCATGTTTATAGTTAATGTTAAAGTTAAGGGTAGTTTAGTGAAAATTTGTCATTAATATGGAAAAGAAAAATACTATCAAAGTTAATGAATTACTTACTTTCACTCAATTCAATTATTATCTAGCTTCAATGATGTATTAATGATTACCATAAAACGTGCCATCTTCTTGCATTGTTCACACAACTCTTGATTCCTGTGTCTCTGGATGTTACTCTTTATAACCTTTCCTTTACTCTCTTTGGATGACGCTTCTATTTTCTAATCCGTTCTTTCTACATCATTCTATGGGTCCCTCTTAGCTTTGGTTTCTCTAGTCTCAACATTCTATCAAGTGCTTTTCATGTGTTAATGAGTTTTACTTTCGTAACTTAGTATCTATAATTTGTATCAAGAGTTTTCTATTTGATAATAGAATTGATGAGCCTTTCTCGAAGCTACAATTCTATTTACAAACTTAAAAGTAATGTGGAACTCAATGACTACAACACTGTTTGTGAGTGACGGCAATAACATCAAGCCAAAGCAAGCTAGTGATTTGGCTAAACCGAAGTATAGACCTAAATGTGCCAATCTTAATCCATCATTTTTGGAATCTAATCCCCCAATGATATCACAATTAACACTTGCAAGTGTCATATCATCTCAAATGTCATATCCTAAGTTTAGAGCAACAAGATCCCATATCCATTTTTTCCAACGAGTATTGCTTTATTTGTGCAGTTCAATGTTCTTCACCATAATTGACCATGGATTCAAAACCAACCCCTTGTTCATTTTCACCAGGGGTAATTAGACAGTTCCAAACTTTATCTCTCTCAATTAAAAATTCAAAAATTAACCTCCTCTTTCTTTCAAATTTTCCAATTATATCTAGATGTCAATGTTCAGGACAAAAATAAATATTCTCTTATAGTCACTCCTAAAATGTTATGTCAATCAAATAACACATGAGTTATCAAATAAATTAAATAATTTTGTAGGTTAGAGGAAAATATAATCTTATTACTAATGAAAAAAGTTATATTTATATTTAATAACATTAAAAAAAATGAGCTAACAATAATTATATTGATATTATAAATAAATTAAATTATATTTTTATCCTTTATATTATTTTTAATTGTGACAATCGCATTAAACAACTTTAATCTTTCAACTTTATTTAAACTGCCAATAAAGACTAGTCTAATTGAAAATGAGTAAACTCATATTTAAAAAAAAAAAATGTGATATAATTTTTGTCAAGGTAAAGACTAAATCCTTGAGACCTATCCTAATTCTAGTGAGTCTCTAGAATTTAATTTATCTAAATTTTTATTCAGTAGAAAAAAAAAAGTATATTAAAGTTATTACGTTCTTGAGTTTGCCAATCTCTATTTCAATTAACTGTGATTATGGTATTTTTCTTACTTGAATTTAAACTAATGAAAAAAAAAGAGAGAATAAATTGAGAAAATACTAAATATCTAGGAGATCCAAGATTAGTAATATAACGATTTTTAAAGAATAGCATTAGCGTTCTAGTGATGTGAAATTAATCAAGTGTTGTGAATATAGAAAAAGAAGTAGTAAAAGAGTTAAGTGGAGAGAAGCAAAGTCTCACATTGAGTTGTTGGGTAACCGAGTCTTCCTGTGTTGTGGAGGTTACAAGAAAAGTTCCCGTCTCCGATTTGACGCCAGATTGAGCGAACGAGTTATGACTTGTCAGCCACGAATACCGGTTAAACGCTAAACCTTTCACCTAATTAATAACACACCACACTCAATTTCAATGTTTCCTTCTATTTAACGTAATCCTTTTATTTACCACTCACACAAAGGTAATTAGAAGCACAAATTTTAGATACTATTATTTTTAGGATTCTTTTCTAATTAGATCATTTGTTTCTGAGTATGTCTTTGTAAAATTCAAATCTCACAAGTTCTAATACACTACTTGAATATCCGTGTATTCTTTCATTTACAATCAACTTCTTTATCATGATCTTTTAACAAAATTAGTTGAAATCACAAATTGAGCTTGATTCTTCTTCTTGTTTTTTTTAAACCAAGATATCTCTAGTAAAAAAATAAAGATTAGTCTCTCTATTGCATATTTAAGGAACAAAATTATTTATCAATTTGATAATGTTTGGGATAAACTAATGTTTAATTTTTATGACAATAATGAATAACAAATGAAATATTTTTTCATTCAAAATAATTTAATGACCTGATATTTGACAAAATCATGATATAAAAACTTAGTGCATGTTTGGATGCACGTCCAAGCGACTAAAACTTACGTTTAAGACGTGAATATCTGAAACTATCCAATGAAACTTCTACGTCAAAATTAACGTAAACGTGATTTTTGAAGAAATTAGACGTGAATCTAAACACGCACTTAATTATTAATAGCAGAAACTCAAGAATTATGGGATGAAAGTTGAACAATTACGGTTCTTAGGTATTAAAAATATAATTAACATTTATACCGATAATCAAAATAGATTATGAAACAAAACTCAAATTTTAATAAGTATTAGCTATTAGTTATAAATGCACATAAGTTTTGTGTAATAAGAAACTGGTACCTATACCTTAGAAGTAGGGCTTATGGGTTGGTTCCTAATGCATCTAGAGCGGGTATTTCCATTTGCAGGGCATGTTGCACAATGAAGACCAGCGTCGCAATTATTCTCAGACCCACAAGTTTCTCCCAGCTGTTATTCACCCAAACCTAGGTTAATTGTATTCACTAATTAATTTTTCAAACATACGAAAAACTATATTGTTTTAATTCATCATGATGAGAAAAATAATTACCTTGAGGCCAGACGATAAATTAATGAGGCAAAGTGCCACAAGAACTAGCACCACCACTTGTCTCCGATTCTGTATGAAACAAAAAGAGCCATGCATGCATGTATGAATTTCCATTTCACATGATTGAGAAACTATAGGTAGAAAGATATATGAAACGTGTTTTGTAAAAGAGATGAAGATAATTAACAATGGCTAGCTTACATAACATGGCTTCATTTTAATGTTTCTTAATTTGTTCGCGCTTGAGGGATGAGAGACAACGAACAAGAAGGAGATTGGTCCCTCTGAAATTCCCTCTTTCGATGATCTTTTCAAAATTTTGACAGTTACGATGGTTTGCTTAATTTATATAGAACGAAAAGAAATGGATTTTTTGAGGGAGGAAAAGTAGGGAAGGATAGATATTGGATGGCGTACGTGTCTTGTTCTTTATGTTCAAACTTTTGGAAATATTTACAATTCAGACAAATAAATCCGGTTTCATCATTAAGCTTTTGATAAAACTAAACTTTCGTTTATTTTTTTTATTTATTAAAATATATACTTTAAATTTAAAGGTTGTTAACTAAGGCATCTCCAATAGAAACAACTCATTTGAGTTGCTTCATGCATTGAAAAATGAAAAAAGTGGTTCCTAGTGTATCATGTCAACATTAAGCTATTCAAACACAAATTTACTTCAATAGTAAGAAATTTTAAGAAATTCAACTTGTAGATTTTTTTTAATCATTTATGAACCAGATTTAAATTATTATTGAAAAGGATAATTGCACTACAATAAAAGAAAATAAATTACGAGAAAAAATACACAATAAGTAGATATTAAAAATAAAATAAAGCAATAGTAAATACATAAATATTATACAAAATTAATTTTTATCATTATTATTTTCGAAACGTTCCCAAAATCTTGTAAGGAACGGTTGCTTCAGGAAGCAACTCTCTCTCTTCTTCAAGCAACTCATGTTGCCACGTCAGAGTCCTCTAATGACAATAAACCGGGACTTGAGTTGTTTCATAAGACAAACCACTCTCATTGAAGTTACTCTAATTAACACCCGATCTTGAAAATCGTAGAGCCACAATTACAAACAAAATATTTAAGGGGAAATATTAGGATTTTTTTAAATAAAAAGCTTTGAAACCAAATTTAATTTAAAATTCAATGACGTGTAAAAAAAAGTATTGGCATCATATAATATGCTCATTTAAAAATATATCTTTAATTCAATATTGAAAATTATGTTAATTTTATAAATACTTAATGAAATAATTTAGTTAATGTATATTTTTAAAATATGAAAAAAAAATTATTATCTATTAAAATTTAATTTTTTTTTAACTTAATAAGGATGATTCCTTGTTTCTACATATATTTGTAGGTGTAGTAAGAAATTTAAGGCTATGTAGTTCTTAGATAATAATTTTTTATTAATATACTTTTCAAAGTGCAAAAGAAATATAAGGATTGGGTATATATTCATTATAATTAGAAAATATAACAATCCTGAAAGGATATTAGTATTGGGATTTCAAAGGGTATATTTATAATAAAGATTTTATTAAAAAAATTTGAAAAGAAAATCTCATCTCATCGGACCACACATTACACAAGAATTATAAAAATTAAAGGTTTAGTTCTGCAAACTTTGTTGATATTGAATGCTTCCATGAGGGTTTTTTTTTTTTTTTTTTTGTGATAACCAAACATTAAAAAGATGATGTATTTGCTCAACCACGCTAACAAAATTGGGGTGAAATTAGGTGCTAGTCAATAGTTGATAACACACAACCTAACAATAGACATAAAAATGAGACAGATGTTATTTTATAGATTGTTGCGACCTCATCGTTTTACCTTATGGGGTTTGTGCACTACAAGACAAAATATACGTCAATTGAATTAAATCTATATAGTTAATTAATTAAATCTCAAGCGTGTGGTTCAGCGGTAGGGGCTGATCCACGCTTAAGCAAGATCAAGGGTTCGAATCCTGCCCTTGTGTATGCAGCCACGTTAAATTTTGGGGCCAACTATCCCACCCTTTGAGGTGCTTCTAACATAGCGAGGAGATTAGTCACGCCTATCGGCGGTAGATACGAACCAGAAAAAAAAATTAAAGAATATTTAATTTAATTACTTGATTAACAATATATCATTGTCACCAAATCAATGAAAATTGAATAATCGTTTTTAATCTTCCACAACCAAAATTGTCATAAAGTAATTTGTTTCTTCATCTATATGTTTAGATCGAGCATAAGACATAAAAATGTCATTTTTGTTTAGTTTCAATACCTAAGTGTAGATGTTTAACCATGAATATGTTCAATATTATATTAATCATTCATTTAAGGCACACATATTTTGTGTGTAACTTTATTGATAATCGTCATATATGTATGATATTTGGCGACATAATACATAATAGACAATTGTATCAATGAGGTCTCGTGGCCAATAACATATCAATCCTTGATTGTTAAAGTGCTTGAAGATTTGATATGCACTAGTAGAAAAAGAGTAATTTACACCACTGTATTCTTGTCAGACAAAGAAAAATTCGATGTTAAAAAAATGCAATGACATTTTGGTAATTAAGTCCAACTTTTTTACGTCGGACCTCGTAGGGACCGACGTAAAATATCTACAAATTTCAAATTTTATTCGCACACGCGTCAATATTTAAACAAGAGAGCTTTGAGTGTATGTTAGTTTTCTGAGTTAAGATTTCGTTTGAGTGGATTGCATCTGAGTGTATGTTTGCGTGTTTGGGTAGTTCTTGAGTTTTTGACCGATTGCATTGGGCTTACGTTTGAGGTTAGTTTGGAAAATCCTTTCTTAATATATTAGCTAATATGTTGAAAATAAATGTATGGATTGATCTATTAATATATTAGTTAATATTATCCTCTTCTTCGCGTTTGGGTGGATCATCGTTTGTTAATATATTAGTTAATACCAAGTAGAAAATGCTTTGCGTTTGGGTGGATCTGCAAGCATCCAAGTAGAACGGGGCGTTCTCTAAGCAGCACAGGCTGTTTTGCTTGGAAAACGACATGTTCTACTTGCAGAATAGCCCGTTCTACTTGCACACGTTATGTTTTTTTTTTGTTTACAACTTTTTTACGTTGGCTCTTGTGAATGTCCGACGTAAATTTACGTCGGCTATCATAACCAACGTAAATTTATGTCTCTCACATTTACATCAGACCTTTTTCTAATGTAAAAAGTTTAAAATAACCGACGTAAATTATCCTTTTTGTACTAGTGATGTATATTCAGAGTTATTAACATTAGAACTATATAGATGTATAGGCAAGGATAACTTGGCCAAGGTTGCACTCTTGTCACAATTATTACAAAGACTTACATCTAATTGTTACAAAACATTAAAAACTCTTGAATATATTTAATGATCAGATCTTCGACAGTAATATTTCTTTATCAATAAATATACCTTCATAAGGTACGTAACATATATAATACACTCAATTACTTCAAATACTTTTAACTTAGGTATTGAAATCCCTTTTATAGGTATAAACTACCTCACACCTAGAAGTCGAGGATTGAGAAGTCAAAGATCGAGAATTTCCAATCACAAACTTTTTGCACTTATTTTTCAACAAGAACAACAATTATTATTACGCATATCTTATAAGTCCAATAAAGATATGATAGCAAGTGCCTTGATAAATACAACAAAAAAAATCATTAACATAAACTCTGATATGATCTTAAAATAATAAATTAGAATCTAATTCAAACTTATAAAATTAACTTGTAAAGTATATACAATATTATAGTGATCTTATTAAATGTGGTATTCCAAGAGATTATTTTATCATTTACTTGAATTAAATTATTATTTTTTTAGGTGAAAGGAATTAAATTATTTATACATGTAAAAGAAAACTTAAATACGAGTGACATATACATACGAGATTAATTTTAGGTAGTATACTAAATAGAAAGTATTAAACAAGTGGCAATTCATGGCATCTGACAAAGTCGTGCTTGGTGTGGTATTAATTACGTGCCACGAGCAAAAGCTTCGAAAAGAGTAAAGAAAGCGAGAAAAAATGAGCACCGGGCCTATCTGCCCCAACAAGTACGCTATGAAGATTCTGCATACACCCCTCAAGGTAACATGACACGAACCATAACCAGTCTTCGTCCTCACTCTCACTCCCACACTCTTACTCTCTTCCCAAATTCAGATCACAAACTATGAAGCCCAGCGTCAACGACAACATCTCCATGCTCGCCAAGACCGACTCCGAGGTCAGCAGCCTCTCCCACTCCTCCCCGGCCCGCTCCCCCCGCCGGGCCGTCTACTACGTCCAAAGCCCATCGCGAGACTCATCCCACGACGGCGAGAAGACCACCAACTCCTTCCACTCCAGCCCGCTCCAAAGCCCACTGGGCTCCCCGCCCCACTCCCACTCCAACTCCTCCCGCGAGTCCGCCTCCACGCGCTTCTCGGGCTCCCGCAAGACCACCTCCTCCAACCGCACCAAGGGCCCATGGAGGCCCTGGAAGGACCAGTTCCACGCCATCGAAGAAGAAGGCCTCCTCGACCCACACGACAATGCCCCACACGCCTTCCCCCGTCGCTGCTATTTCCCTGCCTTCGTTTTGGGCTTCGTCCTTCTCTTCTCTGCTTTCTCTCTCATTCTCTGGGCCGCAAGCCGCCCCCAGAAGCCCGCCATTTCACTCAAGGTACCAAAACCTTAATAAAAACAAAAAAATAATAAAAAAATCCACTTTATTCAATTACTTAATTCTAATTAATTCTCCTTGATTAACCAACATTGTTGCGATCTTAATTTGCTAGAGTATAACCTTTGATCAATTCGTGATTCAAGCGGGTGCGGATATGTCAGGAGTTGCCACGAGCTTGGTGTCCATGAATTCATCTGTGAAATTGACGTTTCGTAACACCGCTACATTTTTCGGGGTCCATGTCACCTCAACTCCCCTAGATCTCAATTATTACCAACTTACTCTAGCCACCGGAACCGTAAGCTATTATAGTATATTGTCGTAATTAAACATATATCATATGATTACATTTTGTAATTATGATGTTGGATTTGATGAATGAATTTGCAGATGCCGAGGTTTTATCAATCTAGGAAGAGCCAGAGATCTGTTAGAGTGATGGTGAAAGGGAGTCATATTCCGTTGTACGGAGGGGGAGCGAACCTGAACAGTGTGAGCGGGGCACCGGTTGAGCCGGTGCCGTTGAAGTTGAGCGTGATGGTGCGGTCCAGGGCTTATGTTTTGGGGAAATTGGTGAAGCCAAAGTTCTACAAGAAGATAGATTGTTCCTTGGTTATGGATCCGAAGAAGATGGGCAAGGCCATTTCGCTCGTCAACAAGTGCACTTACCAGTAAAGTCAGCCAAGTGATTAATTATTAATTAATCAAACTATTTATGGGTATGGTTGCGTTATGCCAAATTTCCATGATATAGCCGAAAGGGTTGTTTCGTTTCGATGTACGTAGTCGGTGGCTCAATTTCAACTACATTTTTTTTCTTCTTACTATCTCAGTTTCTCTTGCCCCTTTTTTTCACCTATATAATGTCATCAACGAGTACGTTGTTGTGGTAGTTGGGATGAGTAGCAGAATATTGAATTGTATCCCAGCTAGCCCCACCCAAAAGAGTACTAGATTTAATTGTTGGGGGTCAAATAATCGATACAATGTATTACGTTCTATATAAAATCCAATTGATGTTGTTTATGGTTTAAAGAATGAAGTATGTATGTTTCACACGTTACTCGGTTCACATGCAAACTTTTGTAATAGCTGAAGATTCTAAGGTTCTCTTTGATTTGTTAAAGAGAAAAAGACAAAAGCTTAGATTGTATAAAAAATTTAATATTTTATTTCATTTTAAAAGTGATTACGGAACAGTATGTGTACCGGAAGGTCCCTATCGGTCACGTTGACCAACATAAATTTACGTCTCCCGTATTAATGTCGGAGCCTTTTCCGACGTAAAAGGCTCAAAATATGCGACGTAAAAGATCCTTTGTGTACTAGTGTTGGTCAACTTCTGTTCGACTCACAGTTCTAATCTTTAAATTTCGAGTACCCTTACCAAATTGCAAATTGCAAGAACTCTTCAACTCCATTTCTGTACTCTTGACTAATGCGACTTGCATTCATCCAACTTCGATTCATTATCTATATATTAACACAAATTTACTATTGACTCAGTTATTCATAATTTTTCTAACCTAAACTACAACCCTAAAAATTGATAGTAATTTCGGATAAAATCAATAAATATTTCTACTAATACGATGGTAAACTAAAGGTCAATGCCTAAAAAGTCCTTATTTAATGCATCTGGAACGGCCCATTCGGAAATCAGAACGGGTCGTTCCAGATCAACAATTAACAAATAAAAAATTCAAAAAAAATGGCCTGTTCTAGTTGCAGAACGGGCCGTTCCAGATGAACATCTAACAGAAAATTTAAAAAATAATGCGTACATGAAACTTACCTCAAACGTTGAATGTGTAGCTCTAAGAGACTTAGAGAAACGTCGAATATGCAAACAAACGAACGAGAGAACGAACGAGAGAAACTTAGACAGTTTTTGCAAACAAGGCGCACGCGGGAAGAGAGTGAAACGTTGGGGCATATAATCACTAATTTACGTCGGACAGGGGGGAGGTCCGACGTAAATTAGTGACTCTTTATTTACGAAACTGTCACCGCGTTTTTATAACGTCGTATTTTCGTTTTGCTAACGTAAATTAGGTGACGTAGTAGCCTATTTTTGCACTAGTGTCATTGTCCTTTTGCCAATCTTTATGGATGTGGCTTCAGAATATTATTCAGCACCCTATTGATTTGGTGTTTACTCAAGGTTTGTTGAGCTTTCTGGATAGGAATAGGAGTTCTCAAGTTTGGGAGGTGTTGAAATCTGCTTTGGTTCATATGTTGTTTGCCTTATCTGGCTTAGAAGAAACGGTGTTCGCTTCAGAAATAGAGATTTTAATTTCAACCAATCTATTCCATGATAATCACTACTAGAAAGTGAGTATTCTACATCGTTAATTCTACATCGGTTTAGGTAGAACCGATGTAAAAATTGCATGCAGTGGCATATTCGTAAATATGAAAGCAAATTTACATCGGTTATGTACAAAACTGATGTAAATTTAAATGCGCGGTGGCAATTTTGTAAATATTTAAAGTATATCTACATTGGTTTTCAATATAACCGATGTAGTATAGCACCCCGTGAAAACCCTAATCCTCTCCCTTTCCTTCCTCAACTTCCTTGTTCCCTTCAACTTCCTCTGCGGCGCCTGCGACCCAGATTGTGTTTGGGCTAGGGAGGGAGGTGTGGCGGATGGTGTAACACGCACGTGAAACTCCTCGCCTTCGATCTCCTCTCTCTCACCCAATCTCCCTCCTTCTCCCGCAGAGGAATCCCTCTCTCACGCGTCGAAACCCTCGGCTCCGTTACCCTCCGCGACCTCAAGCCCGGCCTCTTTCTCTGCTTCGCTATCGACGACGGCACCGGCTGCGTCCCCTGCCTGC